TACATACAAAACAAGGTTTAAATGAATGAATCATCCTTTGACTGGGCTGAATTAGTTTGTAAATTAGAAATTTCTTTAAAGTTAAATATTTCAACAGTGATTGTGTGTGTGTGTGTGTGTGTGTGTGTGTGTATGGGGTTGTTCACATTATCTTGACATAAGAGCCCATAGAGAAAACCGTCAGTCACCACCAGCTGCTGGTTTCTCAAAATCTCACTTACTACTGTTCCCTACACCTGTTTACAACAATGGCCTTTCAAATACAAGTTGTGTTCTGTTGTGTTTTCCTGTAGCTCCATCTGATTCACTGGAACAGCACTCTGTTTAACACTTTGGAGGACGCTCTGGGGAAGAAGAATGGAATCCTCACCATAGCTTTGTTTGTGCAGGTAAACTTGAACTAAGTCAATACAAAATAGCAGCAGAGGCTTCATGGAGGCTTCAGGGTTCGTAGGCTGGCATCATACGAGGTTATATTTTCCCGTCGATTTTGAAATGCTTAAAAATCATGGAAACCTTTTTACTTATGTCGGTTGAATGAAAACAACCAAACGAAAAAACAGAATAATCTTGTTGTGAGACAGATCCCAGTCATGTCTGTGAAGGAAAACACACCCAATTGAAAGAGTACGGCTCACAGTTTCATTTTAGTTTTAGCTTACACAGGCTGCTGAACTCCTGAGAACCTCAGTCTTAACCCATCAAGCTCACACATCCTGTTCTTGACAGCTTCTTTAGTTTTGACCTCCTGTTAACTTCCTGTGAAGATACAGCAGATATAAAGTAAGATCTGCTGACTTCCTTTAGACAATCACAGACGACATTGTTTGTATCAGATTCGTGGATCAGTCCTCGACTGACTGCTGACACTGTTTTTGTCAGATTGGTAAAGAGCACCTGGGTCTGAAGGCCATCACTGAAGTCCTGCAGGACCTACAGTACAAGGTGAGACTGAAAAGACTAGATGGATTTGATGATGTCAAACTGGACACAAGATGACAATAATTAGTTTTGTGTTTCCATCAGGGGAAGAGCAAAATAATCCCATGCTTTAACCCCAACACTCTGTTACCTGGTGAGTAGGAAACAACTTGATTACAAACACCATGATGAATATGCTCGTGAAACTTTCCACTTCATTTCCTACAGGATAAAACAATGGAATGATAATGACATTTATGATAATGATAATTGTAAGTAATGAACTGTAGCCTACTTGTGTAATAATGTTTTGTTTGGGTGTCTTACTGTCATATGATGCAGCACCTAGTTTACTCAAAATTTAATTTCCTGTAATACCAGTAAGGAACACATGACAGTATTCTCACTGTATTCTCTCAATATCTTCATCAAGCTGTTTGCAATTGTTAATTGTCGTGCAATTACAGCACAGTCAGAAATAAAAGCTGCCTTCACTGACACAAGACTTTTTAAAGACTTTTTCAAAATCTTTATTTCCCACAGACCCATTGTTGAGAGACTACTGGGTGTATGAAGGATCTCTGACCACCCCACCCTGTAGTGAAAATGTGACCTGGATCCTCTACCGCTACCCTCTCACCATCTCACAGCTGCAGGTAAAACATGCACATAAAAAAACAAGCAGAGGCATTTTAAAGGCTTTCTTCCATAGGAAACATCTGCTTTATAAGAATTGTAAAGGTTATTACTTTTCTGTTTCTACCTTATCAATATATTACATTCATTGACCTACTAATTTCACAAACGTCTGTCTGTGGAACACATATCTCGCAAACCATTCATCATATCAACTTCACTCTTGGCATGTTTATTTTTAGCGGTCATGGGAAGCTCAGTGCAAGGTTTTGTGCGACTTAGACACTCAATACGCTCAATATCAATGAAAATTTAATAAATTGCGACCTCTTTCATCTTTCGCCTGCTCTGTAGAATTCAACTCAATTTTATTTGTACAGCGCCAAATCATAATATACATTATCTCAAGGAACTTTACATAAAAGGTCAAGACATTAAAATCTTATTTAATATAGAGAAACACAACAGTTCCCACAATGAGCAGCACTTTGGAGATTCAGATAAAAACTCCCTCATTAACAGGGAGAAACCTCAAGAACCAGACTCAATGAGGGCGTCATCTGCCTCAACCGGTTGGGGTGAGCAGAGAAAAATAGGGAGGAGAGGAAAGATGGGTGGAAAAGAGGGGAGAGAAGAGAGAGTGATAGTGGGGAGGGGGAGGAGGGGGAGAGAGAGAGAGACCAGGAACACTTGAGCACCATCAGGTATCAGATCTGACTAGTTAAAATGTAAACAATAATTACATGTTATTGATTATTAATGACAGAAGCAACAATTCATATAATAATGAATTACTAATAAGTATTGTTGTTAATAATAATAATAATAATACTTGTTGTTGTCCTGCAGTTCTGGAGTCAGAGATACCTGCAATGAGAGAAAGAGAGAGAGATGGACTATGGGAGAAAAAAGAAACATAGTTGTTGACATGTATTAGAATAAGTAAATGAGTGTGGGGGGGCAGAGAGACAGAGAGAAGGGGAGAAGTGCTCAGTGCATGATGGGAGTTCCCCCAGCAGTTTAGACCTATAGCAGCATAACTAAGGGATGGTTCAGGACTCACCTGATCCAGAACTAACTATAGGCTTTATCAAAAAGGAACATTTATTTTTTTTGTTTGAATGTATTTCTCCTTTCCTGTTTACTTTTGATTTAATGAATTTAGGTGGTTGGGGGGCAGACACAGTTTCTATGGGATATTGTGAGGGTGAGTGCAAAAAATAGAAGCTCAGAGAAGCGTGTAAGACTGCGACTCTGCCTCCTGGTCTCAACTCTGGATTGTCACGGTGTGGACTGTGTAACAAACGTTGTCATATTTCTAGATATGAGAGCTGCTCAGACCAAAGCGGGATGAATAGAATCTCTCCAAATCAGACCAGGTTTTCCTCAAAAACTTCACCGATTATATACAAAGCCCACGTTGTTATTTGGACACCACCTCGACAGCCAGCGGTGAAAGGATGGCGGCTGTACACGTCATCACTGGAAACATTAGGCAGGGGTCCAGAGAAAGTTAAAAGAAGTCTTCTTCTATGTCCTCAGATGGTCTACAGCAGCAGACGGCAGCTGTGTCAATCCGCTGGTCAAAAATCACGGCCAGATCATTTTAATAATTTGATTAATTTTGTTGCTGATATGAAAAGTTATGAACTTGGGTCTGAAAATTGCCGACTTGCAAGGTATGAAAAAAAAACAACAGTTCAGTAAATCATTCAAAGTTATATATAAACCACACTCGTAAACAGTAATAAAGGAACTTTTATTTCATTTAATGAAAAACATTTAATATAAAATCTTCAATGCAAATAAACCAGGTAGGATGAACACAAACTTCCCTCTGCAAAGACTGTTTATAAAAAGCTCTGCACACAACACCCATCACACACAAACAATAAAAAAGTGTCAGTATATTATCATAGCAGTATAACAGTAATATTCTAGTATATGTAATAGTGTCAGTATATTGTTGGCCTGTTTGAGGAGGACTCACAAATAAAAAGGAGTAATCCTGTTGCTTCAGATCATTACCACAAGCCAAGAGAACAGCCCATTCCAAACAGGCAGGTTTAGAATGGGATGGGAACGACGAGGGGAGCAACGGATTAGATGATGAAATTGAATGGTTGTTAACGTGACAGGGGTTCGCTCATAGTAACAAACTAACAGAGAATTATCCCAGAACTCCTCACTTCACCTCAGGCTGACTGAGTGTTTTGGTATCTTCCCCTGTTTTGCCTGTCAAGCCCTGCAGGCAACAGTTTACACTGAAAATGAAAAACTGACAGAACCTGTCCTGCAACAACCATGACACAGTGTTGGTGATATAGTGGAGCGGTTAGCTGCTGAAGAGCTGGGTTCTTCTCTTTGATAATTGAGGAGGGCAAAACAAGGATCAAAGAAGAGTGGTGTTGGACACGTTCACTTTATCTGTTTTGTGCAGTTTGTTCAGCTGTTCTTAAGTCACTACAAACTAAGAAGGAACAGAAACTGTGTTCAGGGAATGGTTATCTATGTGAGGAGACAAGCACATCCTGTTGCTCCGTCACAATAGACACAAATGACAATGATGTCCTGTAAACAAAACATGTGATCTCCACAGCAAAATGAATCAATCTAGTGATTATTTGTATAGGACCCCCCCCCGCTGCGTTGTGCTTGTGTTAAACAAGAAACTCAGGAGAAAGTCTGGACTCAATTCTGTGGAGATCCTCTGCAGGACATGTCTGATTACGGCTTTTAAATGAGAGTGAGGGCTCATTAGTCTGTGTGATGGTCAATATATATATATGGTCCTCATGATCTTTGGTGTCTCTGGCCCTATCCTCTGTGCTGGTACTGGCAATAGGGTCCTCATGATGTGCTGTACCCCACAATTCACTAATATCTTTACTTTTTACAAGTCTAAATACAACAGGGTGTTTACATCATAATTCTGAGACAATAACTAACAAACTCACCTGAAAGTTTATGATTCTGCCTGACTCTGTCTGACTGTCCCTGCCTGTCTGTCCTCAGCTCCTCTCTCTGAGTTGCCTTTGCCTAATGACACATTTGTGAAACATTTCCATAAGCACTTTATTACTTTCTTATGTCTCCTCGCATTTGATGTCACCGGTGTCCTTACACTTGTTGTTCTGGTGCAGTGAAATTAAATTAATCTTAAATATTATAGAAATATTACTTCATTATCATCTACAAATGATTCCCTATTTTTGTATCAAAACCTTAATTGTGAATGTTAATGTAATACACGACTGACATTTGTAACAAAGGAAACGGCTTGAAAATCAGTTATTAGCATTTTAATTGTGGATACACCTGCCTCACATGTGCTGTAGAAGACACAGCAGCATGTGCCAAGGTGACTGGGTCAGATTCAAATGTGAGGTAAAACAATCAAGATGCAGTTTGGTTAAATGTAAATATGTATTATATATAATCTATTGAGTGGTAAAACCAAAGCAAACGTGTCTGACTCATCAATTGTTTCTACTGTTGCAACTAACCATTGCAGCACTGCAACTCACAGGAAGTTAGTCAAATCTGAGATCATATCGCTCTGAGAGAGACCACACAGGATTCGGCCTCAGACTGGCTGAACTGTGCGGAGGCTCGTCTGTCAAGCTCATGGAGAACCATGCACTGTGTGTTTACATGGGAAACTAACAGATCCACCTCTGCTCTCCCGAACCTGTCCCACATAAAGTTGTTGAGGGCAGCTCAGGCGCCTCCGTCCAGCGGTGTTCTCACTCTGTATAACAACATTATTGTCTCCAGCAGCCCTGCAGAATATATTTTGTTCTTCAAAAGCTGCCACAGCCTCTTACACAACCAGATAAGCTGGGCCGAACATCAGTACATTGGGGGCAGTGAGTCTAGGAAGACTAACCTGTGGTTCTCTAGCATTCACTGCAGTACAGGAAGTGTTTACAACCACTGCCAGTCAAAGAGCGTGTCGCATCTGCGTTTGGAAGATTTAAACTATAACTCAACCCTTGTCTGACTCATTTCTCTTTCTTGGAGCAGGCTGCTGTGGAGGATGGAGACAGTAATCCTATGACATTTATGTCAATCTTTCATTGGTGCCATCATGCGACCTGCTAGCCCTTCTAAATGCTAACAAAACAAAGACCTCTGGCTGTCCTCCTGCCTCAGGCCGTGTTCATACACTGTTAACCTAGTTGACTTTAGTTCAAAAAACAGAGGCAGCTGATTGCCTTAAAAATTTAAGTCACTGATCATACATTTTTATTCCAATGCTTGGGCTGCTGTCCCATGATTGACTTGTTGATTGGTTTGTTTGTTGGTCGGTTGATATATCTGTGAGGCCAGATCTCTGTTAGAAGTATCTTTGCCTGAAGTCTCTCTTTTTGCATCGCCTTTTGAGTAACATTGCAAAGTAGCTTGGTTTCTTGCAAGCAAGATGATTGATCCAATCACAACCCAGGGTGTGACTGCTCAATAGACACAGCAGAAGTGCTTCAAAACAGCAGCCGCTGCTTACATAGAGTACATATCTCAAACATCCGGCTATCATTGAAAGCTGAATAACCTAGACTGTGTTTGCACACTGAAAGTGTCTGCTTGCAAATAGTCAAGTGTATTATTTATTTAACAGCTGCTATGGCGTACAAGGTTTGCCCTAAGACATTAGGCTTTAAATCCTCATCGCTAATAGCACAAGTCTCTAGACATCTTTATCTGTCTCTGTCTGATATTTGTTTCTTTTGCGTCTGTCGCATGTTAGAGGCGCCATCACCCCCACCCCTGTGCGTTCACATGTGCACCTCCTCTGGATAAAATACATAGTTCAGTGCATGTCTGAAAGCAGCTATCATTATCAGGCCTTTCTCTTTTATTACCTCCAGCCATGTTCCTCTTTTTCAGCACTGGCTGTTTTATCTTTTGAGGGTTAAACAGCTTGAAAACACCCACAGAGAAAAACCAATATTTGATGATGATCTTACTTACTCCTTGCTCATTATACAACTTCCGATGTCAGTAAATTTACCTAATGTCATTTACTTTAACAAAGTGAAGCTTGTACCACTCATCACTTGTCATCTGTGCTACAGAGCATTTCTGTATCTGGTTGTGTTGTATTTGCAATGCGTTTGTTTCCTTAATTTGCTTGTGTTTAGTCTATTTATATGTGTTTTCTTAAGTTGCACTGTGCTGAGCAGCCATGACCACCTTAGATTTTTGGCTTTTTATAAATAGTGAAGTGCCCGTTCTGTTTGGAATGGGCTGTTCTCTTTGGTCTGTGGTACAACTACTTCAGATTAAACAATATATCAAATTATTGTTT